TGAACCAATACACAGACTGTATTGTAGACAAGAAGGACATTGCATGAATGATCACTAGGGGTACAAACAGATCAATCAGCTGGGACATAATTGACACCACCCCCAATGATCTCACAGAGGATGTAACTCGGCCCACAACAGGTGGTACAAACAGAGACCCGAGGTTGCCCACAGCTGGCATGGGAAACAGCCAGACCAGCAAGCTGAACACATAAGGGAAAGGTGCCCACATAGTGACTCTCACCCGATTGACCCGCATTCGCAAAGGTCTTGAGCAGCCTGGGGCCCAGCTCCAGGGAGAGTCAGGAGATCTGCCCTGAACCAGGAAGCTCTGGGGAGTGCACTCCACAGACAGACACTCCTGACTCCCTGCAAGTGGTCCCAGCTTTTATCCCCAAGCAGACACCTGACCTTTGTCAACTCAATGCAGGGCCCCTGGGGCTCATTTCCCTTCTGGCTCTCCCTGCAGGGCCGGCCGCACCCTGGGGGGAAGCTATAAGGCAAACTCACCCCTCTGTATACAGGGCTGTGGGAATCACCCATATGGCAACCTTAATTCGGGGCTCGGGGTTCAGACCCCAGCATGTCACAAACACACCTAGTACCTCACATAGAAACTGTCAGTATCAAAAATAATTGTAGAAAAATATCCTGTCTCACGACATATGTCATTATAAGAGCAGTTCTGTCAAAAATGAGACATTTCCGTATGGTAGTTATACACCAGTGAAGAATATCTGTATTCTAAGAAAAACACCTCAAAGGAAACACCAACCAGTTCCCAAACTGCTGTCCTACAGACCCAGTAGACTGCACAGTCAGAGATGCCATCACCAGCTGAACAAAGAAGAAATCTCCATTCTCGCCTGTTTTTTTTTCCACTAGCTATTGTTTGCATCTTAAATTCTCTAAGTAGAACCTTCTTTCCACAGAGAGTAGGTCATAATTTATGAATGACAGCTAGTTAAATAAGTTCTTCGGGGTTTCCTTAGCAACAAACCTAGCCTAATACTTACTGCAATGAAACCTGACAAATTCATGAAGTTATTTCCCCCCAATATTTTGAGTCAACAAGGTCAGCTTGAAGAGCTGTATTTTTTAAGCAACATTCTTCTCTTTGCAGGTCACATTTACATGCAGTAAGATGATGTTAACAGACATCATCCTTCCTTGCCTTTCTTAGTATAATTATCCCTTATAAACTCAATAGCATAGTCTACAATGACAATGCAGTTATTTTGACAAGAAACAAGGCCAAAAAAAAAAATTTCAGACAGGACCTTTCATGGTCAGTAACCCCCTCCTTTTCATGACTGCCTATTAGACACACTGAACCTTAAGGTAATATAATTTTTAAAACTATAATGGATCAAAGTAAATTCACCACAAGTACTGTAACCAAGGACTTTTTTTCAGGACTGAAAGAGACACGTGATATTCATCAGCTGCAGTGTAATGAGTTACTATGGTCCATTATTAAGTTAGGGTAACATAATACTTTTCAAAAGCATTTGCTTGTCAAAAAAAAAAAAAAGGGTTTTTTTGTGACTGCTGTACTGAACTTCAAGCATCAGCTACTTTTTAAATGTACAGTAACTTCACAGAACTGAATCTCAGATAAAACATTACTGTCCTTGTATTTTTGGCAAGAGATGAGCAAGCAGTTTGGTTTTCCACTTAAAAGACAAAGTTAAAGTGGCTTGCATGATAATAACGTTTCTCCTGTCTGTGCTCAACCAAAAACGTGAGGAACTGTATGTGCAGCCTGCACAAGTACCAAGCAAGAGCTGTTTGCAGGGTCAGCATTACGGGCAGAGACACCACGTGGATACCGGAGAATATGGGAAACTGAGTCCTAGCAAGACCAGAAATCGCTAATGAAATACAAGTAGTTCTTTTTTTACAAAAAGCAGCTATTTGATTTGCAGTCGCCTCCTTGGCCACAATGATCTGTTGGTACAGCTGTGAAGGTGCCAAAAAGTTACTTCATTGAAAGCCTGGCATGTGTTCATTTTTGCCCTGTTCAATTTTTAAATTGTGATTTTAATGGCCAGAAATGAGGGAGGAACATTACTTGCATTGGCATTCAGAGAAGAAGGGAGAATTATTTTTTATCCATCGTATGTTTGAAGAAGTGCCCTAACACTAATATATTGATATTTGGAACTAAACATTAAAATGTCAGGTCTTGAATACCATAATTTGATGCCCGTTTGTCTTGATGCTTGAACGTCTCCAGCACAAAGGATCATTTTGCTCTTTCTCCCACTGATCATTTTGGTTCTGCAGAGCTGAACTATGGTCCATTAAAGATATTAAATTAAATTAAATCCAAGAGAAAGAAATGCAGATGATCAGATAACAACAGTAAGTAGAAGGTTCATACTGTGGCCATCTTCCCTTTAGGTACTGGGCAGATTTCTCTTGTGCTGGGCCAGGGCCCATAATTAGGACACAGAGAAGCTTCTTCCCTTTTTGTGTCTCAGCAAAATGATTTCTACCTTGAAACTCACATTACTGAGAGCTTTTCAAAACTGAAACTCTTACTATGGTAACAGGACCCAGTACGTGCTTTTCATTAGCCTGATTAAGTCATTCAAAATCCGTAAAAATATTCTAAATAAATTCACTGGGCTTTTGGTCAGCAAAATGTAAATTAAGTAAAGATGAAGCTCATAGTAAGTAATCCTGCAAAGACTGGTTCTTCTTTACTCTTGCTGATTTCATGAAGAGTTGAGGACATCAGGTCTTCGATCACTTACTGAGATCTAAGGTCTTTTAAAGGAATATCAGGTATGCTTGAAAGCTTCAGTGGGCTTAGAAGAGGCTTGACTGAAATATTATCTACATGCTATACCAAAACAATTAGACCTCCTATGTGCTGGGACTTGTTTCTGAGATATCTAGCAGCCTATTCAGGATCTTCAGAACAGCATTATATTTTTAAATACCTCTCTTTCTGGTAGGGAAGTCAAATTTTTCTAGCTGAGTTTAAAACCATTGTCCTCATTAAAATAGAAGTAAGATAAAAGGGACGTAAAAATAGAAACACCAGTGGATATTTCAGTTATTAGTGACCTACTACTAAGATTTCATTTTCTTACCTTTCCCTTCCCCAAAAACAACTTCTATTCACCCAGACTAGGAACAATACTATCAAAATCATCAGGAGCCCTCTGAGGGAAAGGTATGAACGAGTGCAGCATAACCAGGAACTTTGCTAAGGCAGAGCCTTCATGGTTGATTGCAGTAGATCTGAGCTCAAACTAACCAAGTCACAATCTACAAGTAGGGTTTATTAGCTTGGGTTTTGCCTGGCAGTAACGTAGTGACACGGGGCAGAATGACTGCCTGCAGTTTACTGGGAAGACATAGGCTAAATATCCTAAGTTTCAGGAAATATCCTAGATTTTAATAGCTCTGCAGTTAATGTGGTTGAGGAAATGGGTTCTTAGTTTGCCTGGTTCCAGCAGAACTGTTTTTCAGGTTAACTGAATAAGTGAAGGGTTTTGTTTTCAGTGTGGGTGTTTTTTTTTGTTTGATTGATTGGTTGGGGTTTTTTGTGGGTTGTTTTTGGGTTGTTTTTTTGTTTGTTTAAAGGACACATTCCCTCCTTCAAAATTTTATTTAAAATGATCCTGAAACAATTAAACAAGGCAGCCACAAACAAAGCAAGTCCAACATTTAAGATCATGATGTTATGACTCTTCCTCACTTGCCTGTAGCCAGTAAGCCAGGAAAACAGGATCTTCCTTTAGACCACTAGACCTGGGCTGGTTTGATAGCAAAAGTAGAGTCAGCTTTAGTTTGTGGACAAACAGGCAATGATAGGATAGCCAGGGGACCACCCAGATAACAGACCAGATGGAGCAGTTCTGGTTGAGGCCTCCCTGGGGCCACAGTGCAATCTCTGCAGGGCCAGTAGCCTCGGAGCACTGGGCAGTGACAGCACAGCAGTGTGCAAACGCTGGAGCAGGACTCAGTCCATTCCCATCCCCTTCCTGCAACACAGAACGTGGGGAAGCACCAGCACAGAGACTCGCTGCTCTGGACAGGATCCCTATTTACCCCTCATGGCCCTCCCCAGGCTGTGCAGCCTGAGCTCCAGTCTGTGGTGCTTGTCTGCATTCACAGGAGAACAGCAAGGATGGAGCTCAGTAGTGGAGTGTGGAAATAATAGTTTCCCCTGGCTCTAGCTTGATGTCACAGAACTACAGAGCTTGGATAGACCTGAGCTGGCTCCTCAGGGAAATCCCACAAATGGTCTGCCTTGCATTCCTTCTTCTCGGGAACAGCGTAACGGGGCATCTACCAAGTCTCAGAATGACCAGCATGAGCCTGTCAGGATTATTCCTCACAGCTCTGCACCTCAGCCAGAAATCCTGCTGCCTCTGCCAGTACAGATTTGCAACCCAGACAACCTACCACATGGAACTGCTGGCTGAGCACCAGAAACCTGCGAGTCAGGAGGACAGCGTTTGATGCAACACTCTAGACTCCATCTAAAGCTTTCTAGTCATTATTTCATAACTGTACAGTGAAAACCTCCCTTTTTCTTCAGCCATTTTTCTGCTTAGCTACTCACAAGCAGTTGAGAGCAGGACTGAATCCCCCCAGCATTAAACCCACGGTGACTGGTGCAGCATGCACAGCTTTGTGGGGGCCAGTGGTGTTATTGCTCATGCATAACTGTCTAGAGGGGGCTGGGCTTATCTCCAGGCATCTCAGCTAAACACTGCTGCCACAGATGTTACTTCCATGCAGGGGGATGTGGTCTGAACTTTCACCAAGACCTCTGGGATTATCTGTAGGTGTTGGGAGAGTTGCTGTTAAGTGTTATACTCTCAAGTGTCTCACGTGGCAGTGTAAGCAAGAATGTGGGCTGAGGAACAAAACACCAGATGATCCTTGTCTTCTCACTTTACCTGCCCCTGTTATGCTGAAAATAATGTACTGTGGCATTTTTCACAGGAATCTAATGAATTTTTTTTTCCTTCCAGCTACGATGAATGTGTGGGGCCAGGAGCAACACAAATATATATTCCTACAGATGATCCCCCTCCATACTCTCTTACGGACCCTTGTCAAGGAAATGAAATATCTATAAATATTAGCCTGGAAGAGGAAGCAGCGTCTGGGACTACAGGACAGGCTGCAGATTATGCAGCCAGGCTGCAGGACTTGCAGCAGCCCATTTCATCAATCTCCTTGTCGTCTCTCAGTCTGGAAGCTGCTCCCCTCTATGAGACGGTGGTGTGTGAACAGAACATCCCCATCCCACTGGTTCCAATGGAAGTACTGAAAAATTCTTCCACTGACTATCAGACCCTTCTGAACCAGATCATGTGAACAAAAGTGGCTCCTTCCTTCCGTTCTTCTGAAGAATTCAGACCAACAAAAACATTTGAATGGAAGAATAAAGCCTCTGAAAATTTTACCTATTTTATATCTTTAAACAGGGATGCAATGGGATTTTGTTTTTTACAGTGAATTTTGAAAGTTCATCTAAACTTCTCTCTTTGTGCTCCACAGTGTTTCATGACATCACACAGTGTAAAAGAGCAGCAGTGACAAGCAGTGCATCTGACCTTTTTGAAGCATTTCAAAACACATCGAAGTCAGCTGCTCTTAATGTAGATACATGTTACCCAGTTAAGCCTACCTGTTGATTTTATGATACTTTGCATGGTTTAGAGCAGAAGGAAACAGAAGGGCATTTTGCTGTCTTTGTAGGTGTCGCTAGTACATTTCATTCAGTGTCTCAGCAACAAAGCATTTTTAAATAATTCTTTGTCTGAATATGTATTTCAGTAGAAAGAAACAGAACACTGTCTTCAAAATATGACTGTCATTACCATGTAGGAACAGAAGAAAAATGGGAATAATATTGTAATAGTCACATTTTTCCTTTGGAAAGTCTGTCTAGGACCAGGCTTTCCAGGCCATTGCAAAGCCCGGTGTAAGTCTTCCTCAGAAGAAACCAGTGGCCAGTGATGGGCAGGTGGCTGTGGATCTCCAAAGACCAGTTGGCTCTACCCAGGAGGCTGCGTGCAGGCCTGGGAGCTGCTTGCCCTTCACAGGCAGTTGCTGTAGCCAAGGGAGGGGAAACACCTGGAATCCCATAGGATGTTTCAGGCCAACGCCCATCCATTACTGCATTTTGGGGCACTGACAGCTCTCTTTCTTCAGTGAGGAGCCTGTAGTGTTACAAAGGACCTTGACCTCTAGTAATTGCATTAGCGTGATGTAAATAATAGGTGCTGGATTTGGCATGCACAGTAACAGAGAACCTTACTTTGGGCAGAAACCACTTTTATTAGGCATGATCCTTTTCACTGAAATTTTGCTACCTACAAATCTAGCTTTTGTTTATAGACCTGGACTTCTCACACATCCGTGTGATAAATGCATACAAGTTGGAGATGCATGCTAGTGGGAACAGCAGAGGTAAGCTGCAGATGTGAGAGCTGCACCTTGCATGCTGCAGGAGCAGCCTGGCTCCAAACAGGGATGACAACTAAATGACATCTTCAACCACTACTAGTTTGCACAATTGTCAGAGGCTTATCTCCACTATATCCCTTAGAGAAATTTTCACAGGGGAAGAAAAAAAAAAAATTTACACAGATAAAATGGACTTCATTTACTACCCCCACTGAAAAATATGTAAAACTTAGTATAGTAAATATATAACTGTGTTTAAAAGGCAGCATCATCCAAATTATTAAAATGACACTTAGATTTTCTGTAAACACTAAATAATTTTCAACTGTAATCACCATTCAACACTTCAAAGACTGACACAATTATAATTAACACTTAGATGGGAAGTAATTACATGGCTCTTACTGCTATATAAGTGATACCATTACTGAGTCATATGCACATTATGAGCTAAGGTAAGCATGCATTTCTTGCTAAGTAGAATCATAGGATCATTGAGGTTGGAAAAGATCTTTAAGATCCTCAAGTTCAATTGTTAACCTAGCATGATAAGTAGATGAGAGTAAATACACTTTTTCCTACAATAACAGAATACGTTTGCAGTGCAGCAGGATTTTCAATATTCTCAGTATACTATACCCAAAACAACAAAACTTCAGGTTTTTGCTGCAGAACTACTGGCAGGCATCACGGGAATGTAAACTAGATTTTGCATTTGTATTTCTAACAAACAGAACTATTCCTCTGCATAAAGTATTAGTGCAAACAGTTTTGTAGCGTGCGAAGTATCCAGCAATAAGAGAGACAAAACTCTACAGCATCTATTAGAGGCCAGAAGTAAAAACCCAGATAGAAACGTACCACTTATTTGTACTGGCAGGAAAATAAGAAGTGAAGGAAAGCACAGAGGTTTGTTTATGCAGAATAGGACATGCTTTCATAGCTGTGTCTTCCTGCAGCTCTTGAAGACCTGCCTAGAACAGGATAAGTTGCTGGGACCAGACCCTGCTTACCTGGGGCTGCTGTTGGGCAGGGGGAAATCTAACAACCTGCTTGGCTGTTAACCTGACAGGAGTTTCATGCCCTTCCACTAACTTTCCATCTGTGGATTAAAAAATAATTTTAGGTAGGCCTTCGATGAATACGGGAGATTTATACTTCACCTCATGATAGAAATGCATTACTACAATTATAGAAGACTAATCACAGCCTGCCTTCACGTGGTAGCAGTTTTGCATCCTCGGTGGAGCGAAGCGGCGTTGCTGCGGCGAGCTGCCTGCTCCCTCTTGTGGCACAGGGCTTCAGCAAGTCAGGGCGGCTAGCTGCCACGCTGCAGGGGTCACACTGAGGGGCTGCTCCAGCAGAATAATCCCAGATTCCCCCTCACACAAATAGGGAAGCTAACCAAAACATACTTCCATAGTGTAGCATTGCTTTAAAGTTACTACTAAATGCATAGGTTGTGTCATGCATTATGAACAGATGTCTTTTAAAAACGAGCTGTGAATTAGAGTCTGCCACCTGCAGTGATACCTTGCCACAACGATTTGTAAGAGTGGCTTAGCATTTTCTACTCGTTAATCGTTTTGAGATAGGTGATATCAAAGAAACTTGGGGGGAAAAGTTATAAATCAAACCCGTACACCACTGCAGACAGACCATATTAGAAAGAAGTTTATAGCCCCAAAGCTGCTCTAACACCTTCCGCTGCTACTACTGGACCAGTGTAGACATTTCTGTAATGATGCAATAAGAATATGTTTTCATTTCTTGGAGAATATTTAAGGTCCCAGATAAAACTCAAAGCTGACAGAGCATCTCCTGATGTTTCACTTAAAAAACTAATATCTTCCTATCAGATTTTATCCTAAACTCTCACATAATTTTAATGCCAGTCCTAAAACAGGCTTAAACAGAGGCATTTCGTTTATTACATTATTAATATCAGGAAGAAAATTGTTTGACCATGCTGTTTCTTGCTATGTGATAACAATACTGTATTTCTGTAGTCCTCTCTTTTGCTTCAATTTTTAGTATACTAACCTTTACACAAGACTTTTAGTAAAGAACATACATGTATTCAATATAGCTTCTGTGCTTTTTATTGCATCCCTTTGGGACTACCCAGAACCTTTAGCCTCCTGTTCATCAGGCCACTAAGCAACTGTAAGCCATTTACATTTTAAATTTATTTGAGATCACAGGAACAAGCAGCCACTGGGGCAGTCAGGTCTCTCCTGCTCAGAACGACCAGTCAGCGTGTGCCCAGCCAGGATCAGCCCAGTGCAGCAAGAGCAGGAAGGGGAGAGTCTGCAATACTGCTGCAGAGAAAATTTGTTCCCTTGTAATACTACCAGGCATTTCAAGAAGCATCAGAGACCCTCAAACACATTCCTAGGAGTCTCTGAAAATTACTAAGGTCAGGAGAATGAAAAATTGCAACATACCACCAAGGAAAACGAGGAAAAGCCAGGAAATAACAGGCCAATCTTCCCAGAAATATTAAACCAGATCATTTTCTTTGCACAGCAAGGTAAGTAGCAATGTATTTCCTGAACAGAAACCACAAACTGATCTAACTGGTCGTGGCACAGCCTGACAAGTCATTCCCCTCCTTAACTAGAGAAATACTCTCAACATAAAATTATAACCACAGGCCTCTGTAAATTAAAATCATAATCATCATACAAGAGATTACCTATCATTTGCACTGTTTGAAAGGATGTGTCAGGTGGGATCACCTATGTTTGAATGAAAATATTGAATGTTGCCAGATTTTAGAGCTTTGAGAGAGAATGGACCTATTAAAATCAACAAATGACATTAAAACAGGAGAGGCAGGAGTATATGGAAAAGCAGGACTGGAATTTGAAGAGACACAGAAGCAGCCTGGAAAGACCAAGATGCAATTCAGTAAATGCAGATACAGTTCCTGCATTTGAGAACTGTAGGCCCAAATTCACAACACAGTGACCTGTTAGAATGCAGAAGAATGTCTGAGAATTAGACTGAAACAAATACAGGCTGTGAGCCAATAATGTCATACCACTAGGAAAAAGGCAGAAAAACCCACAACAGCCTAGGAATATAAACAGTGTGATTATTCTTAAAACACTTCAAAATAGCTCTCTGCTCACTACTGCTCTAAAAAAGGAACAAAAAAGTTAAAAGGCCTGGTTATTTTCTTGGTTTGGCATGAAAAATAATAGAAAACTGTTCTCCACTGCCATATCAAAATGAGATATTAGAATTGAGAGGAAATGGGAGAATTAATATTTTATACGTTGTACAGAAAGAAAGATCCCACACATTACTGGGAAATTTCAGTACTCTCCTGGTGGAGCTTTCCATGTCCCCTCTTCATCCCTCTCTGACAGTGTCTGATGCTGCTTCATGGCCTTGGGAACTGGCAGTTGTACTTTCATCACTTGATATTAGCAGCTCTCCAAACCCTAGATGTCTTGCCCATACCCTCTGGGAAAACAGGATTCCCTTAGCCCAGACCACATTAATGCCCCACTGAGAACTACATGATTTCTAATACCATAATGTTGCCACAGCAAAAAGCTTTCAGTGACAATAGTCATCACCACAATTATATCCAAACACCTCCATCTCTAGCTCCACTCAAGTGAGATTTGTAGATAGATCAGAAACTAAATCCATGTTTTCTGAATCCCCAGCAGTATCTCATGCATTAAAAATTCTCAGCTAGCCAAGTTCATATTCATTTCCATTTTCTTCAGCTCACAGTGATGTATGCTTGGACACTGGCTACTGAGCTCATAAGCAAATGATAAATAGACAACTCCCACTTCAGGCAGATTTTTCATGCATATACATTCTCACTGCCATTAAAGCAAAAAAAAGTAACATGCAAAACAGCTTCTATGTCCAGCAGAGGC